GTTTAGGTGGACACAAAGACACTGCTTGTTTTCCTGCCAACTATTGCCATGAAACTAATTGTAAGATATTGGCTTCTACATTGACCTCTGTTGCTGTGGTGCATTTGCTTGCTCGATAAAGGGTTTTTAATTGTTTCTTTTTGTAAATGCACAAAAAACAAATGATATTATAATATTTAATTGGTTTTGTTCTGGTTCTTTAGGATTAGGTGCAAATAAGTACACAGTATAAATAACTGCTAATTTAATCAAGCCATTCATTAATTATTTTCTTCTTTTACAATTAATCTCTGTATCCTAATTTCAAACTTCTCGCCATTAAATATATAGTCAGCTTTCAATGAACCTTTTAGATGCCCACGCATGAGTTCCACAATTTACCAAAGTTCATGCTGTGATATTTGCTCTTCGTTAGCTTCTAGTTGTTTTTTTTTGTCTGAATGAGTCGGCTTACATGATTTAGGAAAAAATTACTTCACTTACTGCAGCTGTGGTGTGATTCCTGAGGTTGAACCCTCAGATGCCGGAGTGGCTGGAGAAAATGGTGTGCCTGGACCATTTGGATTTGGTGTAGCAGGGTACATACTGGCATTAGATGGTGGAAGCACCGGGTTGAATGCCATGCCAGGTGATTGCATGGGACTCTGTGGAGATCACAAGCTAAGTACATTAATTATAAATTATTAATAAAATAGTACATTTTAAAACTGTTGAAAAAATTTGTCAAAACTGACTCCAAGTGGTTGAGCAACAATGTGGTTGTCTCATTTCACTTGACATTAGTTGTAACATTACATAAGGCATGATCCACATTATGATCTAATATAATTGGATATCTTCATTTGTGATGTAGGTTTTACATAGAATCCTTCTGTAGCATCTCAAATCCATGGCTAAGATCCACCTCTCTAATTCTGTAAACCATGATTCACTAACATACAATGAGGGCATCAGTCTAATTTTCGTGCATAGTGATTGCCACTGTCTTTCTAAATTCTTTTGACTTACACATCTGTGCTGTGGACTCATAATTCAAGTCTAGTTCCTTCATATGAGACAATATCTCTGAGGCATTTAAACCCTTTGACATTTGTAAGTTTTTTATTGTGTTTTTAAGTATTAATTTGTGTGCCATATGATGCAGATGTCTTGACATCTTAAAGAGGTATCATTTTTCAATGCAATTTGTAAGCCAATACTTCATAAAAATATATAGCTAAAAATCATTAGCTGAAGTCTGTTAAGGGAATCAGTCCAGATCCAGCTTTTGGTGATAATCAAAATCTTAACTAGATCTAGGTCTGTGGTATATCAAAGAAATTTAATTTAAAAAAAAAAAATGTACCTGTAACTGGGGCTGTGGAGTAAGTCCACTTCCAAATGAAGGAAACTGATTGCTGTCCATGTTTGCTTTTCTTCTAGCAAATAGATGAAATAGTTGACTAATAAATACAACAAACAAAAAATAATAACATATAGAGTCTAAATATATATATTAACTAATATAGTCTCAGTCTAGATTATTTTCTAGATCTAGATTATACTAATTTAGAATCTAGATGACTAGATATAGAATTAATAGAATAGTTACTAGATCTATAATAATCTATATTTAACTACATAAAATCTATAAAGTATAGATATAGATTCTAGACCTAGTCCTAGAGTAGATCGCATCTAGATCTATACAACACTAATATGTAATGAAGAATCTCTAATATAATACAATATATGCTTTATAATATGCTTTAAAATAACATGGTGGTCAGTAAAGGTATCTGGGCATCTAAACTATTACCAAGTATTTTAATGATGTACTAACGAAAAATTGTTTTTTCAAAGATAAATTTTTTATTTCACCTCCCTCCTATATTATATATTGCAATTACATACTTAGACTAACTATGTTACATAGTTAGGTACTTTGACATGTCTACTCTACTGACCTATAAACTGCTAGACTAGCTGCTATATAGTTTTGAAACACCATGGCTAGACTTCCAAAACCATGGTGTTAGTTGATTGATTGTTGTTTTTACATTTGCTTCATGTTTTAAAAACCCTCGTGCTAATCTTAAAGGAGGATTCCTAAGCTTTTGAATGATACCACATTGTCAACAAATGAAAGTCCTGTTTATTTAGAAAATGTACAGTAAAGTCATAGGTAAGAATGATTTTGCATTTAATATAATTTTTAAGCAAGCTTAGAATTTTTTTTTTAATTTAGACCTAGATTTATGCTTAAAGTTTGTTATTTCATTATTTTTTAATTAAATTTTGTCCTCCAAAATTAAAAAAACTGCCCCTAACATGCTATAAATGATGCCAAATTAGGCTATTTTTCTAAATGGATAAGTGGAAAAATTATAACTACCATAACAATCTATGACTATAGTATTAAAATCAATATTTTTATTATAGAGTAGTGTTAGAAATCTTTTTTTCTATACTTAGGTACACAAAATAAAAAAGGAAATCAGCTAATTAAGGCAAGTTTGGGCCCATCCCGACGATGTTAAATGAAGTCACTCCTTGGTGCAGCGACATGTGGCGCAAGACATTAGTAATTCTTTTGAATAATATGAAGTATAAATGATTTTTGCATTGTTTAACAGCTCATCTTTGATCAACCTAGTGGAGAGAATGCTATCAAGGTGTTATTTTACATTATATTTATAAATATTATAAAGCTGAGGAAGTTTCTACCAAACGGCATTCTAGAAAAAGGATCGAAGTCAATTTTCAAACAATTGGATTAGCTGTGAATGAATGTTAGCTGCATGTGAGATGAAACATTCAAATTAAAAATCATATAATGGGGCAGCTGTGTTCCAAATTTCAAGCTTTTATCTATTATGGTTATAAAGTTATGATGAGATAAATCATAAAGACAAAAATTCATTTTTTCGATCACAGCTTTTTGGACATTTTCTTAAGTCCATTTTTCTACACATAAAACGACATAACTTTGCTCCTATATAACAAAGAAAGATAAATGTGGTATCGTTGTAACCCTCTCGGCAAGCTCTACATAACTAAATAATCACTAAATAGCTTTTGTTCATATATAGTAGATTCTTATATTAGGCACACCGTATTCGGGAACTAGGTCAAATTTTTACTTTATTTTTTTATTTGGTGACGGTTTAACTTACAAAAAAACTGAAAGCAGATTCTTATTCTGCAACTAAAGGACTATAAAAATAGCTGTGTTTCTTTGAATTACCACTCATAGTCAAGATTTTATTTTAAAATAAATCAGGTCACTTCATGCTCCTATAATAAACGCAGTTTTTGTGCTTTCTCCTTTAGCGCACATTGAGCACCGTTAAGAAACACCACTATGTTATTGCTAATAAATTATATCTGCGTTAATTAAAAATTATTTAGATGGTATTAAAAGAAGTAGATTCACTTCTGCAATATATATGTATTTATAGTATATTGCCTCTCTCTATATATATATATATATATCGTTGATAGTTTATTTATTTATATATGCCTACCTATATAATCTATGTGTAGAAACAGACAGAAATAAATCTATATAAATTTTAGATCTATAAATTAATTATTATAAATTAATAAACATGATATTTTCAACTAGGCTAGATGTATTCTCTGTCTCTTTCTTTAATTCCCATCCAAGGACCCTCTTCTTTTCATAATTTGGATGTTTGTTTTGTTACACCTTAACATCCCCTCTCTCCCATAGATGCTTTTCTTTTTTTGTCTTTTCATGACTCTCTCCCCCTTCCTTCCACTGCCTGTATGATAGGTTGTGACACTACACGTTTAGTGTATACCTCTCCTCACCACCAGCGCTCGCCTGGCGTGATCACCTGCAGTGGGCATGGTCTCTGGCTTCAAATTAGCAGTACGCACTTTTTCTTTCATTCATAAATTATATATTCTAGATATCTCGATCTAGGTCACGTTTATTCATTGAAAAAATCATAAATTTATTAATCCCAATAATAATCTTTCTTATTACGATTTTGCCTTGTGCACTATAGGAGAATGTGTCGAATTCATTATTATCGTTGAAACACCTCCTTTTTTAATTTTATTTAACAGCTAACAGTATGAATGTGATTGGAATGTCTTTCTAAAGATGTTTGGAAGCTTATTTTGATATATCCACAGCCTACGATCAAACAGGCTAATAATATAGCCTTCATCGCTTATAAGGGTATGAATTGCCAGGGGAGGTTAAATCAATAGCTTTACATACTTGGTTACCGAGAATCTAAAAAACTGCCATCTGCTTTGGAAAAGCGGAACAAAAATACAGGAACTTATCTAAAATTGGACATGCACTGTCCCGAAACGTCGTTTTTAGCTCCAAACATAAAAACAAATTAATTATAAACAAAAAAAGCGACGTATTTCTTAAACGAGAATTCGATGAGCTGTGCTTAATATAAGAAGCTACTATAGATCTAGATAAGTAAATCATAAATAAATATGCTAAGCCTAAATTTAAAAATGTAAACAATTGAATTTATTTGAATCTTCTAGAATAATTTATGAGTCAACCTCTGCTTTTTATTAAAATGCTTAATAATAACTAATCTAGGTCTAGACCTACATGTCAGATATTAAATAGGATCTTATTTCTTTAAAACATTGCTCTGAAATTCAAAATCACAAGTAGATTCGAAGCTACATCAATGATCAAGTAAAGAGAGTAAAATTTGAGTGTCTTCTTTCAGAGGAACAGGAAACTAGACAAAATAAAAATGTAAAGAGCGCATGCGTGCTACTAAAAATTGGAATCTCATTATTCATATGTTGTATATAAATATTTTATATATTAAAAAACAAAACGCATCAATCGTATCACTAAAAAAGAATATAAAATTTTTATAAGCCGAAATATTTAATGAAAATTTTAAAATATGATTTTATTATAGACTAGAATATAGATTTAACTGTAAATATACGAAGCTAGATTACGTTTAATCCATGTTTTTTACTTTTGTAGCAGTGATTGAATATTCCATGACAACCAGTTCAAAGGTTAAGGGTCGTTCCGGTGTGAACACTTATTGTGTCCCGGAAAACAAGGTTTATTCATAACGTGCTCAGCGCACTGAACTGAGCAACAACTGCTCCTTGCTATAGTTTTGTGTCAGGATTGTCAGTTTTCAAGCAAACATTCCAAGTATGGCTTGGTCAAGATTACAAAGTGCCTTAGATTTTATTGCGTATTGGAAACTGCAGTTCTCCCTGGCAACTGCGATGTACGTGTTGGATCCAGAAGAAAAAATTGTAGTATATATCCTTTTTTTATTTTAAATAATTTTTATAATCAACACATTCAAAACAAATAAAAGTAGATATATTTATTTATAAATGGTATTTTGTGTTGCATTCGGCTTTACCTTAATAATGGGTATAATACACGTAAGTATATCAAAAAATCACTTTTTTTGAATGCATGTCTCTTGAGATATGTCCGTGACTTGTTGTTTTTAAATTAGGAATGACGATGTAAAACTGTAGGTAGGTTATAGGTTATATAATAATATACAGTATACAGCGCTTCATATTATTATACTAAAGAAACACCCTCTTAATTTAATTTCTAATTATGATCGTTTATTAATCTTACAAGCCGGCTAAGCTCGGTATTCGACAAAAAGATATGATATTTTATAATGGAATCAAGGGCGTCCATAAAACTTAGTTATTTGTAGTAACTTTTTGATTGTGTCTTTTGCGCTCTCCTCAAATGTTCTCTTAGATTGAAGGTGGCAAGCTTGCGGTGCATAGTTGGAGATATTCTAGTGATAGGAAGTTCAATCAAGCTTCAGATAACTCACAACGACTGACGTATTGGAGGTGAAGAGAAATACCTTAGCCCGTCCTGTTGGCACATAAAATAAATATCCACGAAATTCTAGAATTTCGGTAGTACAATGTGTAAAACACTGTTGATCCACTCCTTTAGTTCCATTGTTGGTGTTGTTGTTTTGGTCTTTGTGTATTTGTGTTTTTATTGTTGTTTTTTAGGTAAAATATTTTCTAAGTCATATATTATTTTAAAAACAACAAGGGTTTCTTTTAAAATAGATTGTTATAAAATTCAATGAGCTGTAATAAATCCGTGACCGGTAATTCAAAATGAATGTAGTGATGTGCTATCCAGGGTGTCTTGTAATAGCAGTTTAAATGCCACGTATTTCGGAGTGACAAAACTCCATTAGTGCTGGATTCACTACTTCCGTATCGCGTGTTAAAAATTGGTTTATTTAGTATAATCTATTGAAACTTTATTAAAAGTGTGTGATTATGTGTAAAGGGAGAGGGGAGAGAAAGGTTTGGATATATAGATGACTACCAAGTGCATGAGTAACCCCGCAAAGCATGAGTTCTGGTATCTTGAATGTCTTGATGGCATGGCTTATAATTGACGAAAAACAAATAGTCTTATATGTTAGTTGACACCGTTGGCTTCATTTAACTCAAAAATAAATATTTAAGGTCTATATCTTAAGCTTTATTTATATGTATTCGAAACATCTTTTTGAACGGAAAATGAATACTAACTAGCGCATAATGTCTTTAAGTAGAACATTTGTTTTCGTAGGCCCTGCCACTTTCTGCTCTAACCGGGTCAGTAATGATCTAGCTCTCGTGTATAATTAATACTATAAGATGCTTAGTCTAAGCAATGTATTAATCCGCCGCCCCATTTTTTTTTACATAAGGACTTTTTCTATTTCATTTTTTTAAAAATAACTTTCGCACATGTTCAACGTACTAATAACTAATGAAATGAACCTATACATGTGGCTCCCATATGAATGTTGACCAATGTATCTGCCTCAACAATGAAAGCCAAAAGTAAACGAAAAAAACAGAAGAGTTTGAGTGAATAGATTGTGAGCTTTTGTGTTCTCTCTAGAGGAGAATCTGTATATATACTAACAGCTCGCTGAGAAATAATAATGTTACGCTCTGTTTGGTTGACCCTTCAACTAAGTGTCACGCTTGGGTGGCGATCTGGTATTTAACTATAAATAGAACCTAAGCTAAATAAAAAAAAAAAAACGCTTACAAGAAAACGCATTAAAAAGTAGAAAATAGAAAATAAAAGCGTTGGGTAAGTTTATAAGTTAAAGTGAAACTCACACCCAACGCCTTTTTTTTTGTTTATTATCTGCTTTTTAGTGCGTTTTAATATATGTATTACTTTTAAAATAATTACTATTGATTATTTTCATTTCTTTAGTCTTATACTTTTACGATCATGTTCAAGTAGGCCTACTGATGTATGTAAATGGTAGAGTCTAGGATTAAAGTATTTTAAAAATGGTATTTAAAGACAGTGTTAATTACCAAATCTATTACAAAATTTTCTTTATTATTGATTAATAAACCTACAGTCTTTAATATAATTTATAAGCAAACATACAGTCTTTGTTATCTTTACATGAACATTGAATTATTTTATTTGACTTTAGCTATATTTCAATTCTGCTGAAGCGATCGTTAGTCTTTTCATTTCCTCCAATCCTCATAGCATGCTCAGTGCGATATGATCCAATAATTTCTGTGGACCAGTTGGTGTGGGGGGGGGGGGGTATATCGCACAAGCTTTATGTTCTGCCCTTTCAAAAGCTAGGAAACAAAATGCTGAAGTCTGAATTGGAACTCGAGCCTCCTGGACTAAGACACATCTAGGTCTGATTGAGACACACCTAGGTCTAATTAAGACACATCTAGGTCTGATTGAGACACACCTAGGTCTAATTAAGACACATCTAGGTCTGATTGAGACACACCTAGGTCTAATTAAGACACATCTAGGTCTGATTAAGACAAACCTAGATCTAACTCTGTCGTTTTCAACGGTCTAACGCGTAGAAAGATATGTTACGCCTTTTGTTCAAAGAGCGTGATGACCCCAATTTCTGGATATGACACGATAGATGATTCAACTTTCTGTGTTGTGTATTCTGTTACTAGAAACAGTTCAATGTTTATGAGTACTATATCTTGTCACCACCTCAAAATTGATTCCTTATAGTTGATACCCTATTTTAATGTTGTGAGTGTGATTCACAACTCGGATTGCTTTAAGGTGAACACTTTTAACCTTGAGTTCACCAGTTACTTGATAGCAGTTGGTAAGACACAGTCAGTAAGAAGGGTTGTTGAGAGAAAGTCAGTAGGAAAGGTTGTTGAGAGACAGTCAGTAAGAAGGGTTGGTAAGAGACAGTCAGTAAGAAGGGTTGTTGAGAGACAGTAAGAAGGAATGGTAAGACATAGTTAGTAAGAAGTGTTGGTAAGAGACAGTCAGTAAGAAGTGTTTGTAAGAGACAGTCAGTAAGAAGGGTTGGTAAGAGACAGTCAGTAAAATGTGTTGGTACGAGACAGTCAGTAAGAAGGAATGGTAAGAGACAGTCAGTAAGAAGTGTTGGTAAGAGACAGTTAGTAAGAAGTGTTGGTAAGAGACAGTCAGTAAAAAGGGTTGGTAAGAGACAGTCAGTAAAAAGGGTTGGTAAGAGACAGTCAGTAAGAAGGAATGGTAAGAGACAGTCAATAAGAAGGAATGGTAAGAGACAGTCAGTAAGAAGGGTTGGTAAGAGATAGTCAGTAAGAAGGGTTGGTGAGAGACAGTCAGTAATAAGGGTTGGTAAGACACAGTCAGTAAAAAGTGTTGCTAAGAGACAGTCAGTAAGAAGGAATGGTAAGGGTTGGTAAGAGACAGTTAGTAAGAAGGGTTGGTAAGAGATAGTAAGTAAGAAGGGTTGGTAAGAGACAGTCAGTAAGAAGGGTTGGTAAGAGACAGTCAGTAAGAAGGGTTGGTAAGAGATAGTAAGTAAGAAGGGTTGGTGAGAAATAGTAAGTAAGAAGGGTTGGTGAGAAATAGCCAGTAAAAAGGGTTGGTAAGAGACAGTCAGTAAAAAGGGTTGGTAAGAGACAGTCAGTAAAAAGGGTTGGTAAGAGACAGTCAGTAAGAAGGGTTGGTAAGAGACAATCAGTAAGAAGGGTTGGTAAGAGATAGTCAGTAAGAAGGGTTGGTAAGAGACAGTCAGTAAGAAGGGTTGGTAAGAGACAGTCAGTAAGAAGGAATGGTTATACATAGTCAGTAAGAAGGGTTGGTAAGAGATAGTCAGTAAGAAGGGTTGGTAAGAGACAGTCAGTAAGAAGGGTTGGTAAGAGACAGTCAGTCAGAAGGAATGGTAAGACACAGTCAGTATAAAGGAATGGTAAGACACAGTCAGTAAGAAGGTTTGGTAAGAGATAGTAAGTAAGAAGGGTTGGTGAAAAATAGTCAGTAAGAAGGAATGGTAAGAGAAAGTCAGTAAGAAGGAATGGTAAGACACAGTCAGTAAGAAGGGTTGGTTAGAGATAGTAAGTAAGAAGGGTTGGTAAGAGATAGTCAGTAAGAAGGGTTGGTAAGAGACAGTTAGTAAGAAGGGTTGCTAAGAGATAGTAAGTAAGAAGGGTTGGTAAGAGACAGTCAGTAAGAAGGGTTGGTAAGAGACAGTCAGTAAGAAGGGTTGGTAAGAGATAGTCAGTAAGAAGGGTTGGTAAGAGACAGTCAGTAAGAAGGGTTGGTAAGAGACAGTCAGTAAGAAGGAATGGTTATACATAGTCAGTAAGAAGGGTTGGTAAGACACAGTCAGTATAAAGGAATGGTAAGACACAGTCAGTAAGAAGGTTTGGTAAGAGATAGTAAGTAAGAAGGGTTGGTGAAAAATAGTCAGTATAAAGGAATGGTAAGACACAGTCAGTAAGAAGGTTTGGTAAGAGATAGTAAGTAAGAAGGGTTGGTGAAAAATAGTCAGTAAGAAGGAATGGTAAGAGAAAGTCAGTAAGAAGGAATGGTAAGACACAGTCAGTAAGAAGGGTTGGTTAGAGATAGTAAGTAAGAAGGGTTGGTAAGAGATAGTCAGTAAGAAGGGTTGGTAAGAGACAGTTAGTAAGAAGGGTTGCTAAAAGATAGTAAGTAAGAAGGGTTGGTGTGAAATAGTCAGTAAAAAGGAATGGTAATAGACAGTCAGTAAGAAGGGTTGGTAAGACACAGTCAGTAAGAAGGAATGTTAAGAGACAGTCAGTAAGAAGGGTTGGTGAGAGACAGTAAGAAGGGTTGGTAAAACACAGTCAGTAAAAATGGTTGGTAAGAGACAGTCAGTAAGAAGGAATGGTAAGAGACAGTCAGTAAGAAGGAATGGTAAGACACAGTCAGTAAGAAGGGTTGGTAAGTGACAGTCAGTAAGAAGGGTTGGTAAGACACAGTCAGTAAAAAGGGTTGGTAAGAGAAAGTC